TCATTTGAGCTCTGTTGTCCTTATTTCCCTAAGTAAACAGCAAGTTACCCCTTTGGCTGGGACCACAACTGGCATGGTTTCTGCTTCCCGTGCAGTGCTCAGTGTCATGGCCACAAGCAGGGAGCCGCTGGTCCTTGGCACGGATGTACAAGGTGTCTTGGCCTGTACCTGTCCTCACCCTCTCTGGAAAGAGCACTTCAGTCTCCCTTTGGGAAGCGTCCCTCTCCCACTCCATCCATTCGGCTGGGAAGGAGCTGACCCGCTCCTCCACCCTCTCTGGCCGTGGGCTCTTGATCTAGGCTGGGGCTTGATCTAGGCTGGCGAATCAGAGCCCCAGAGGTTAGGCCGACGAGATTCAAGCCTGAGAGTTGTGCTGGAATTTGGGAAGTAGGTCTCCTTTTTTGGATGGGATTGCTGACAGAGAGTCGCTGTATGGAGGAAGTCGGCCGAGGGATGCAGAAAGACCAAGCCTCGAGAATGCTGCTTGGGCTCCTGGATCCAGCCCAACCTGAATTCCAAGTCCCTCCGAGTTTTTCAATTATTGCGATCCAATAAATTCCCTTTGTAACTTAAACGCTCTACAAAGTGCTTCAAATTGAGTCCTGCTTTGCCACCAGCTGTTAGTAATGAGTTCCACGTAGCTGTAGCTTCTGGGAAAGCACAAAGAGAAAGAGTCGTGGGCCAAAAGTCAAGGCTGCGTATTTTGTTTCTATTATGAGTACCTTGACTCCATAACCTCCCTGTGCCTTAGTTACTCTGTCTGCAAAATGCGGTTCATACTTCTGTTCCTCTAGGGTCCTCTACACTTCTCTCACTTCCAAGTTTATTGCTGTAGCCCAGATCTCTCTTTGGAGCTACAGATACAGTTGCCCTCTAGGTTCTTTTTCCTCAACATTTTTCCCTTTCATTGTTCTTCCTCTTATTACATGGTGCTCCGTGCTAGGAAACGCTAGCTCTCCTCCAGTATCCACTCTTCCTTTCTCCCTCTCAGAATAACAGAATCCCTGAACTTGAATGGTGCATGTGACAAGACTACATCTCCCAGATTCCCTTGCCGCTATATGTGGCCACGTGATCAAGTTCCAGCCAACAGAACGTGAAAGAAATGACAGGCACACATTCCGAGTCTGGCCCTTAACAGAGAAGGGGAAAAATAAGATAAAGAGGGGTAAATTCTCCTTTTCCTGCTCCCCCTTCTCGCTGGCTGGGATGTACACGTGGGGGGCGAGCTATGTTTTATTTTGCCAATGAAGGCAACTTCTAGGGAAGGCAGAGAACAAAGAGGGCCTTCGTGCCTGGTGCTGTGTAGGAGTCTTACTAGCTTGAACTGCTTACACCTGGACTGCTAGCTGGACGAAGTCAACAATCTTGCTTAAGCCACGGTCACTTTGGGTCCCTCTTGGAGTGGCTGGATTTAGCAAATTAAAAAAAAAAAATACTCCTCACCTAGGGGAGAGCGGTGGGGGGAGGGTGGGGTGAATTCTAGAACAGGAGTGAACGTGGCACAGGGGACTTGGATGCTCCAAGAGCTTCTCATCTGTTTCCCCTGGACATCCTGGGGGCACAGAGGCAGACAAGCGAGCCTGAAAAATGACTCTCACCCTCTCTGGGCCTCAGTTTCTCCTTCTGTACTACGGAGAGTAACCGGCCATGTTGGTCTCCTAGGTCCCTCCAACTCCGACCTTCTGTGGTTCTGAAATTCTAGGATAGACGCTGAAGTCAGAGGCCAGTGGGGCCAGGGAGGGTCCCATAAGTGGGTTAAACAGGCCAAGGGGGCCTGTGGGGTGGGCTGCACAGGGTACCCCCCCCGCCAAGAGGCCAGTCGCTACTCAGCTCCCATCGATGGCTGCCACACGAAAATGCAGGATTGCCAGATTCTCTAATTTTTTTTTTTCAACGTTTATTTATTTTTGGGACAGAGAGAGACAGAGCATGAACGGGGGAGGGGCAGAGAGAGAGGGAGACACAGCATCGGAAACAGGCTCCAGGCTCCGAGCCATCAGCCCAGAGCCCGACGCGGGGCTCGAACTCACGGACCGCGAGATCGTGACCTGGCTGAAGTCGGACGCTTAACCGACTGCGCCACCCAGGCGCCCCGATTCTCTAATTTTTCAAGAAGAGTTGGAAATCTGGACTGTTTGGGTCCGTGCAATCTCCCGATTTTTAAATGTTGGCAACAAATTCACATTTTTTCAAACACTCTAGGGGCCAAACAAAAATGTCCGCAGGCTGAATTTGGTCAGCGGCCACCAGCTAGGCGTTTTTTGTTTGGATACTATTTTCCTTCCTTCCTTCCTTCCACAAATATTTATTTGATGCCTTCTAAGTGGGGGCACTGTTCTGTGCGCTGGGGATAAAGCAATGAACCAAACGGGCAAAAAAAGAAAAAAAAAAAGTGCCTGTCATCATGTAGCTTTTCTAGAGGATCGTCCTGACTTAATCATGCAACAATATTTATTGAGCAATTCTGGCCCGTGCATCGTTTGGCTGAGTGGGTAAAAAAATGTTCATGGGCCCTGCCTTTGTGGTACATATAGCCTAGAAGGGAGACACACAGTGAGTCCATAATTATAGATGAAAAACAGAGTTATGGGGAGAGCTGTGCTTTAGATAAAGGTTAGCCAACTCCTCTCGAAGGAAGCTACATTTAAAATGAGAACTGGGGCGCCTGGGTGGCTCAGTCGGTTAAGCGTCAGACTTCGGCTCAGGTCACGATCTCACTGTCGGAGTTCGAGCCCCGCACTGGGCTCTGTGCCTGGAGCCTGCTTCAGATTCTGTCTCCCTCTCTCTCTACCCCTCCGTTGCTCACGCTCTGTCTCTCTCTCAAAAATAAATAAACGTTAAAAAAAAAAATAAAATGAGAACTGAAAGACAAGTAAGACTTATGCTAGTAAAACAACATGCTAGAACATTCCAGAGTATAGCAGAGGCTTCCGGGGTGCTCCTTCCCCACATCCTCTCAGCTGTTGCCATTCCTGTGGGTGCAGAGGCTTTCAACTGTGAGTCTCGAGGTTCCCTGCTGGAGGGCTTTCTCAGGGGCAGGCCCGAAGTGCAGGGAGGTAATCCCCTAGGGAAGCCCTTAAGCTATGATGGAAGGGAAGTGGCAGAGAAATATCCCAGCACCCTCACTCCTGGCGGGTCAGCTCGGAGGTGTGTTCTACAGAGTCTCCCAGGGGTCCCCGGTGGGACTGAGCCCCGGTCACCTGCAGCGGTAACTTGTATGGGCTGCCTTCCCTTCCCATCTCACTTTTCCACTCCGCATCCGGCCTTTCCTGGGAGAAACCCAGCAGAGATGGGAGGGTAGGTGGCTGGTTTGAGGACAGAAAGCACTTTAGGATGAGAGGCAGGAAACAGGGCTGCAGAGGGGGGCAGGAGCCTGCTCACGAACAGCCTTGGGAGGGAATGTGACACGACCAGGTTTGTATTGTAGGATGGTCCCTCTACAGGCGGCTATAAAGGACAAGCACCACAGCTGGACGTGAACGTGGCTGGGCTGAGGTGGTACGGCTGGAGAGAGGCAGCTGGCAGTGAGGGATGACAAGGGGGCATGGGCTCTGGGCTCTGCCCTGGTCTCGAGGACGCCCACAGTGTGGTTTCAGGAACGGTGGCGAGACACGGACACAAAAACCATCCCCATGATGACAAAGCCCTACACAACCCGCGAGAACCCGACCGTTACCCGCAGCCGCAGAACTTGACAGGGGGCCGTCTCTAAGGGCAAGACGAGTGAAGGCAAGCCTTTCAGGGGGCAGTGACTTTACCGGGGTGGTTCGGAAAACCCTAAAGCTCCCAGACCTAGTGGGTAACCCGCTACGATAGCCCCTGCGGGACGGCTCAACTTTTTGCAACGCCGGCCAGTCCGGTCTGGTGTCCTTTCGCCAGTTCTCGACTCCGCCACCCTCTGCCTAAGCCGTGCTCTGTCCAAGAACGCACGCCGGATTTCCCGCAGGCCCTGCTAGACGTATTAACGGCATTCCTACGTGGCAAGAGATTTCTGCACCACCAACACCATTTTTATATTCTTTACAACACAATGGCAGATGATAAATCTATCTTGCTAATTACACATCCAGCTTGTTATAAGCCCCATAAAAAACACGAGCAGCTGGAAAAGCCATGAGGTGATGTCAAATCATATTTCTGGCCTCTAAACAGAAACAGAAATATTTTCCAGGCGCTGGCGAGTCTCACGGTTCCTACCCGTGCATGGACGCAGCTGCCAGCAGGTTGCTCACCTCAGATGAGATGATAGCTTTTGCCTGTTCTCGGAATCCCTGTCCCTCCACCCAACCCCCCGCCCCCCCCCCAACCGGCCTCCCCGGGGAGACGGCATCCACATGTGGTTTGCCGGGAAGCCCGCGGGACGGATGCACAGAATCGGCAGGGTTTGGGTCTTAGCAGCTGGGTTCGTTTTTGCATTATGAAGGTGGTTTCAGGGTTTCTCCCATTCACCACCCATCAGCCCATAGCATCTGCCCAGAGTTCTAACCGGATGGTTCCCCGACATAATCTGTCGGTGACAGATTGGCCAAGCTGTCGTGAAGGTCCACGCCGGAGCTGACAAAACGCCTGCCCCTTGTCTCAGAAACACGGAAGGAAGATGAAATTCATCTGCCGGAGACGCTAAGATAAACAACAGGGAACAAGGAAAATACTTTGCCTCGTTTTTTAGCTAAAATTACTGTTTTTGGCTGCAGTGTATCAGACTAAGAGCTTATGTCCGATCAAGTGGATGCTGAACGCTTCGTGGGTTGGAAGAAAGGCATGGGGGACGACAGAAGGGGAAGCTAATTAAATTTTCACATGTCGAGGGAAAATTGCATAGGAGCTCTCAAACCCAGACTGACCCAGAGGGGTAGCTTTTGTTGGAGAAGCCGCCTCATAAACTGCCCCCACAGTTCCCAGGACAAACCAGCTGAACAGACTGTCACGTTGGGGAAAAAAAAAAAAAAAAAAAAAAAAAAAGAAACAGAGAGAGAAGACACAACATGGATTCTTACCTTCCCGTATCTGGATGCAAAAGTCCCGGTGAGTAAGGAGTGAAAAATAATTATCGTTTCATCCAAATCCCACACGAACACACGCTGTGATGAAAAAGAGGAAGACAAATGGATTTGCTTGCATCTGACTTAATGTCTGCAGAAATCAATTCCCTGGGAGGAGAAAGAAATCTTGAAAACCATTATCTTTAAGTTATAAAACCTGTGACTCACCGATGTGTCACTGGGTCCCCATCCAACTTCAGCCGTGTAAAGGGTATTCTGAGGGCCAATTTTGGGCTCCTATCAAACCCTCAGATGCCAGAACCAAGAAGCCTGTTCCTGCCTTCCACATAGAAGCTCAAAAGTGGAGGAGCTCAGTCCAAAAGCAACAATAAAAATCATATAACTCATTTGAAAAAATGAAGTGCTACCATTTTACATTCACCCGCTCACCCTAAGCCCGACCACTTCTAAACACTCCTGTTTTTAGCATTTCTGGCGATTACCTCCGTAACTCTAAGTAACGTACTTATGCCTTTTTACTTACTGACTGGCCGACGTGAGACAACAGCTCTTGACTCAGTAATGTGAAAGATGAGGGTTTAGCTTATGGCGGTCTCCCGCATTTCTCCAGGATGTTACGCTTTTCACGTAGGTGAGCCCCTCGACTTCTAAGACCATCCGCTTTGGACACTCTCCCGGGCTGACGCAGTAAATCCCACATGGAAGGCGGTTGTCGTGTTCTCGCCCTTTCCCCCCACCCCCTCCCCTCTCTGTCATTTAGCGGCATTAGGCTTACTTTCGCACTCCCACCGTGGATAAACCGATTCGTGTGCTTGGTTTCATAGAGGTACTTTGATCTTCTGTGCTCTGTTTCTATGTTGATTTTCAAGGTTGTTAAACAGTGAAGGGCATGCGCATCTCTCATCACCTGTAGAGCCAAGTACCATGTTGGGATTCACCTCTTTCTCTGTGTGTCCAACGTCCTAACCCCAGAGCCACTTTCAGGAGACTGTTTCTACCACGAAGGTCATGTCCTTCCCTGTGCTCCTTCCCGATGAAAAACCACGGCATATCCCAGTTTGTTCTACAGAGGAACCGTGCCTGTCTGGAATAACTTTTTGTTTTTGCAGGAGTTTATGAACTGCTTTAATTTTTGTCTCGTTTCCAATGATGTGCTTTCGTTAGAGTCTCAAATTCGGCCACACCCGCTGTAGCAAAGAGGTTCATCCTCAGTGACAGAATGCTCCAATGTGGCCTGGGTCATCTTCAGGCTTGCTGCATAGGTAGCATCCTGAGACTTCCTTATACTGCATTTCCGGACGAGATCGACTGTTTCCTGGAACCCAGGTCTCTCTTGGTTTTCTTCCTTGTTTTGCTTGAGTATATCCTGAAGCTGCTTCTTCTGAAAGGGTGTCTGGAAAGTAACCGTGCTGAATTCCTACCTTTCTGATCTATCTTCATTTTGCTCTATGGTACCCGTGGGTACAGAATTCCAATTGGAAAATAAAGTCCTCTGGATGTTTGAAAGAATTCCTCCATTATCTCATAGTGTCCCGTGTGACCGACGGGGAGTGTAATGTTAATGGACCTTTAGTCCTTCGTAGGTTTTGCTTTTTCACTCTTGTGGATATTTTTATTTTTTTTCCTTGTCCATCTTGTATTGTATTTATTTATTTTTAGTATCATTTATTGTCAAGTTGGCTAACATACAGTGTGGACAGCGTGCTCTTGGTTTTGGGGGTAGATTCCGGTGATTCATCGCTTACATACAACACCCAGTGCTCGTCCCAACAAGTGCCCTCCTCAGTGCCCATCACCCATTTCCCCCTCTCCCCTGCTCCTTACCATCAGCCCTCAGTTTGTTCTCTGTATTTAAAAGTCTCTTATGGTTCGCCTCCCTCCCTCTCTGTTTGTAACTAATTTTTTCCCATTCACTTCCCCCACGGTCTGCTGTTAAGTTTCTCAAGTTCCACGTATGAATGAAAACATGACATCTGTCTTTCTGACTGACTTATTTCACTCTGCAATAATACCTTCCGGTACCATCCATGCTGTTGCAAATGGCAGGATTTCATTTTCTCATTGCCAAGTAGTATTCCGTTGTATATATAAACCACATCTTCTTTATCCATTCATCAGTGATGGACATTTGGGCTCTTTCTCTGGGATATTTTAAGATCTTTTCTTTATACATGCAGTCCTCCCGTTCATGCTCTGTCTCTCTCTGTCCCCAAAAAAAAAAAAAAAATTGAAAAAAAAAAAAATTAAAAAAAAAAAGGGGCGCCTGGGTGGCGCAGTCGGTTAAGCGTCTGACTTCAGCCAGGTCACGATCTCGCGGTCCGTGAGTTCGAGCCCCGCGTCGGGCTCTGGGCTGATGGCTCAGAGCCTGGAGCCTGTTTCCGATTCTGTGTGTCCCTCTCTCTCTGCCCCTCCCCCGTTCATGCTCTGTCTCTCTCTGTCCCAAAAATAAATAAAAACATTGAAAAAAAAATTTATACATGCAGTCCTCAAGTTCCGTGAGGATAAACCTAGGTATGGTCTTTCTTCATTCATACTGTTCAGCCCCTAAGCATTTTTGATCTTCTTTCTTTACATGAAGACAGTCAAATTAGACCTTTTTGATTGATACTGCTTGTACTTTAAGAAAAAATATTTTCTAGAATTTTGTCTTTTTGATCTGTGTTCGGGGAGATTTCTTAAACGTTTTCTTCCAACCCTCCTATTAAACTTCTGAGTCTGTCATTTAAAAATTTCCAATGACTCTTTGTCTCTGACTATTTCCTTCCGAACAGCCCCCACTGCATATTTTATAGATGCAAGAGCTCCCTGGATCTTTACAAGAAAACTGCTCAGAGTTTTCCAAAGTTCTTTTCTGGTTTTTAAATTACCTGTCATGTATCCTATTAACTTATTTTGGTCCTTATCTTTCACACTGTTGCTTTCTGTCATTTTCCGGGGATCACGGTCTTTAAGGGCAAAGGGCCTGCCTGACTGCGTGTGTAGCTGGTGTTGGTAGCAGGGGGCCCGATGCACCTACTCAGTCTGCTATCTTGAATGGGCCACCCTTGAAACCTCTCTGGAGGTGAACGGCTGTACTTAATTTAAACATGGGCATTCACCATGCCTTTAACAGAAGGGTGGTCTCTAGGAGGAAAAGGTCAGTTAGTGCAAGGGTTTTCAAGGCACTTGGCAGATCTGAGTGTGACTTTGTGAGTTTTTTGGTCTAGTTACATTTATGTGTGTGTATGTCACAGTATTAAGTAGAGTTCTTATTACGGGTCATGGTAAAAAAAAAAAGAGATTTGAAAACTATTGTTTTTAAGGAGGGCTTCTGGGTTTCAATGGCTAAGTCCTAATTTATCTGAACTCAATTGGATCGGGAGCCACTGTGGCTGGTTAGTTAAACGTCTGACTTTGGCTCAGGTCATGATCTCATGGTTAGTGAGCTCGAGCCCCATGTCAGGCTCTGTGCTGACAGCTCAGAGCCTGGAGCTTGTTTTCAGATTCTGTGTCTTCCCCTCTCTCTCTGCCCCTCCCTTGCTTATGCAAGCTCTCTCTCTGTCTCTCTCTCTCTCTCTCTCTCAAAAATAAATAAATGAACTTAAAAAAAAATAAATGAACTTAGTCGGATCAGTTAAACCGAGAGATTTTGGTAAGGGAATTAAAAAAAAAATCAGTGAGTATTTTCAAACTGAATGCGGACCCCATTCATTTATCTACAACATAGCCTCTGAAGAAGAAAGTCTGCCCCCCTCCCTACCACTCTGTTCCCCTGCCTTAGATCCTTGGTGGGTAAGTTCCGGGTGGCTGCTTTGCAGTGACCCTCCCCCCTAGCCCATCATGGTTTGGGCCAGGGAGAGCCCCAATCCCAACTGGGCCAGAGGCTTTTCCTTGGAAACTTGAAATCAGAACCCAGAAAGGCATTCACCATCTTTGAGTGGCTGTTGGAGGCCGCACAATCGGAAGGGCAGGGAGGGCCAGTCTGCAGGGAGCGTGGCACAGAGGGGTGAGAGATGGAAAGACCACCCCACACTTTGCCGGGACCTGGTTTCAGACGGAAACAGAGGGAGGCTGGAGGAGGGCAGAGCCCAGGAACCAGCGCCTGTGCGGGCTGAAGACATTACGGTTGGGCATCCGGGCACCTGCACTGTAGCGCGTGCGGAGAGAAGGCGCACACGCTCTTCCTTGCCCCGTCTTCCTTCTGGTTCCAGCATCTTGCCGACACTCCGCTCTTCGCACCTTGGGGAAGAGAATCTCTGTATCCCTAAAATAAATTCTGCTTTTCCACTTAAGCTAGCTCACGTGGGGTTCTGGCGCGTGCGGCCGACGGAGTTTAACTAATAGACGCTCAGAATTTCCCTCCTCCCACGTCGTTTCTCTCTCGTGGGCTTCAGTCATTAGCAAAACTGCCAAAGCCTTAGGAGGTGCGATGTGGTGCTAACCCTGCATGCTGACATTAAGCACAGAAGTGAAACACAGCTCACACCTTTCCAACGGCTCTCGCCCAGGGGTACTTTCCTCTGGAATCGAGAAGCAGCTGTTTCCAGAATAACGTCGCCCCGTAAGCCCGGACTTCCATGCCACCCCCACTGCCTTCTCAGTTCAGTGGAAAATGTCTCTCCACCCCCACCAACAGCAGAAGCCGTGTTAAGTGACCGAACAGTAGAAAAAACGATGACAACAACAACAACAACAACAACAAGACATTCGTGTGTGTGCCACCCTGTGATTCCCACAGATCCCGCAACTTGAAGCTGTAGGAAACCCTCGGGAAAATGGGAGGCAGGAAACCGAAGGACGAGCGGAGGCGCACAAATTCTCTTCTGGTCTTTTGCAAAGGCCTAAGTCCTGCTGAGGGGATGCTGCAAAGTCCCTCGGTGTTGGAAGGAGAGGGCTCTAAGAACTAGAGGAAAAGCAAGGACAAATCCCTTGGCCTAAGAGTGGTCCCATGAGCAGTGGGAACGCTTGCTCCGTGGCGGGTCCGCAGGGGGTCAAGTTCTCCGCCTGGGCGGCCGCTGGAATACCTCAGGCGGCTGACCAGGGGGAGGAGACGAGAGTGGTATTCAAAATACGCAGCACCTTCTGGGACAGCCGGAACAGACGCTGGCCATAAACGAGCCCTACCAGCGAACGCTGGCTACATCTCAAATCCCCTGGTGGCGGCCATTTGTGCTTGGGCCCCCAGCATCCACCCCTGTCTGATAAGAGCGCCCTGGTTTTCTTTTCTGTTGTCTTGGTGGGGCTGTCGATCAAGGGTGAGCCCAAGACCCGAGTCAGGCCAGTGGAGGCTGTCTCCTTGGAATCAGACATTGAGTGAACTGGCGTTAGAATCGCGCGTGGTTTACTCTCCAGCAGGGGCCGGCACCCAGAAGGTTCCCTAGATTCCTTGGTCTTTGTTACAGCTGTTTCCAACCTTGGTTTTTATCACTTCCCCCCCTCCATGTTGTTGTGCCCTCCCGGTAAATTCGCATTTGCTTAAGTAACCAGAACTGGCTTCTGTCGCTTGCAACCAAAGGATTGTATCTCATGCTCCAAGGTTCTGGTCCTCGACGAGGATTTCAACGCCCAATGTATGGCATGGACATGCCGGAGAAGGGCTGGGCTCTCACGGGCCACGGCAGGTACTGACAAGGAGGAAGGAAGCAGCCATCACCTCGAATCCTGGCCGTTACAGGATCTGTTCTGTAGACCTGGTCTGTTCTGAGACCACCTGAGCCCTGAGATTCTCATACAATTCCAGGTAGAAGGCCCCCCCCCCCCGCCATGACACTGCATTTCTTACCATCTTGATGGGATGGGGACTCAGAGTCAAAATCACAATGACTTTAAGGAGATGATGAAAATTGTATTTCTCAGCACATCTGAGTTTGTGGGCTGAGCCTTGTGGCTGCTGCGTGAATTGTACAGGATTATGAACAGAGATGGGATGATGGTACATTGCAATTTCTTGGCCCGGACCCAGACTCTGCCAATACTACCCGTATACGCATGGCACACTCAAGCCGATAGATCGGCCCTCCTATTATTTCTGCCTTTTGCAAAGTACAAACCGACGAACCTGCCCGTTTTTTTTTTTTTTTCTCCCTAGATGTCTATCAGTTGCTTCCATCTGTTTTTTGGGCATCTGTTTTTCCTCTGTCCCCATTAGTACCCTTTCCCTTCTCTCATGTATGCTGTTCTTTTTTGTTTGTTTGGGACAATGCCAGTGGGTGACCAACGATCGATCCTACGCTTGGCTTTGTTCAAGACTGGCACATCCCTTAGACCAGCTGGGGCGGCACTCTGGAAACAACCTGGGGAGCTTTAAAATACCGATGCCTGGGTCCCTCCCTCAGGGAGTTGGATTTAATTGATCTGGGATGCAGCTTGAGAAGGACGGTTCCAAGAACCTTCTATGAAACTCAGAATTGTAGAAATGATGCAAGCTGAGCCAGCCTCCTGTCTCCTGATAGGTAAATCCTCAAGCCATATCAGAGCCACGAGGGGAACTAATAGAACTCTCTTGCAATGTACATTTAATTAGTCTGGGATGGGGCCAGGGCACCTGTATTTTAAAGAGCACTCCAGCTGACAGTAATACGTAGGAGGCTAAGAGCCCTCTGACCCAGCTGGGAAGGTTCTCTGCCCACTGGTGTCTTTACCAGGGCCTTTCAGAGTGTGCTCCCCAACCTGTAGCATCAGCATCATCTGGGAATGCCCTGGAAATGCCAGTTCTGAGGCCCCGCCCCCAATCTACTAAATTGGAAACTGCGGGTGGGACCCCGAAAGCTGGGTTTTCACAGGCCTCCAGGTGACTCTGCGGCTGTCCACCCGAGTTGTTTACTATCCCCAGGGTGACTTTTCCTAGCCTGGACAGTCAACTGCGCTTCCTGACGGCCCCCCCAATTCTCTCCTTTCCCCTCAAGGGTCCTGTTCTGTCACTGAGCTTTGTGAACCCAGAGCCCGCGGTGTGCGTGGACACAACTCCGCCCCCCAGCCTCTCGTTCCGGCCACGGCTGGAGATCGCATTCACCAAGTCAAACAGGCAGTCTGGAGTTACCTCGATCTCACTGTCCCCCGCTGGGGAGGGGTCGCTGCTCCGCTTCGACCGGCCTCGGAGCTTCCCGTCGGAGGCCCGGTGCGGCCTGTCTGCGTCTCCCTCCTTTGCCGGCGTGGAAGGTCCGTTGTGGGTGTTGTATTCGCCTGGTGTCGGAAAGGGAAGGGTGGACACATCAGAAGCTTTGCTGAGTGTCGCCTCCCAGGAAGTATCACACCAGAACCAACAGTGGTAGGTCCCAGAGGCAGCACAGAAGGCAAAGACCTTGTGGACTCGAAACTGCTCATGACGGTCCCTCAGGCTGCCTATTCAGAATCATTCACTCATCGAGCGAAGATGCACTGAGTGCACAGAGTTCCAGGGACTGGTTCTCACAGCACTCAGCTTCTAGAGACAGGAGAGGTGCATTAGACACACAAGCGAGTATGTAACATGCCAGGTGGGGCCGTGTGTTACCGAGAATTAGCAAACGGGCTGGGGACAGGGAGAGCTGGGTGGTCACTAACGGGTATGGGGCCGGTCAGGGAGGGCCTTGCGGATGAGGGGACACCTGAGCAGAATCTAGGGAAGTGAGGGTGGGCCACTGGGGGAGCTGTATTGACAGTGTTTGCAACTCTCTCTATCCCGAAGTCTGAGACTCCCCAGACGAACAGAAGGAAGAAAGTCAGTATCTGCGTGGAGCAGGGCAGCAAACTCTTCTATCCTGAAGACCCCCCCCCCTCACCCCCAACTTGGGGTGAAAGGGAGGTGTGTGGGGAGCATTCTCTATGCTGCTGCTCTCCCTATGTGGCCTGCTCCATTCTCTATTAAAAGCAAGCCCCTGGGGCACCTGGGTGGCTCAGTGGGTTAAGCTTCCGACTTGGGCTCAGGTCACGATCTCACGGTTCATGAGTTCGAGCCCCGCGTCGGGCTCTGTGCTGACAGCTCGGAGCCTGGAGCCTGCCTTGGATTCTGTGTCTCCCTCTGTCTCTGCCCCTCCCCCACTTGCGCTGTTTCTCTCTCCAAAATAAATAAAAAAACCTAAAATTTTTTTTTTTTTTTTTAAAGCAAGCCCTTTAAAGCTTCACTTGTCAAGACGTTTGTGGATTTGAGAATTAGGGAGATGACATCCACGAAAGCACCCGACACGGGGCTGCACTTAGGGCGGTGAGGAGATGATCTGAACCGAGTTCTGGCTTCATCCACACTCACGTGGGGGTCGGTGAGGAGGTGCAGGGCAGGGGGCAGTCACCTGCTGCTTCCATTCAGGTGGTGCTTCTGCACAGAGAGGCTGCCGCACTCACGCCCTCAGGCCACTGTCCCCCAGCCCCGCATGAGTGAGCAGCACACCCTCCCGGGACCCAGGTCCCAAAGCCGGCATCCAGGCTGTGTGTTAAGCACAGGAGTTTGAAATACGTGGCTTTTTATGAAAGCGTAGTGACTTCATTTCACTCACAAAGTGGGATGACGTCAGTCCGCGTCACCCTGCAAAACCAGCGGTAAAGGCAGAACCAAAGTGTGGGCGGGCCAGCCCTCGTGGCGAGAGGGACAGAAGCGGGAACCGGCGTGGAACCTTACAGGACACCCCCTCCCGCGCTCTCATTTTACAGCTGCTTGTTTTAGTTCCCAGATGCATCCCGTGGATCTCATCTCTCCTTCCATAATCGCCAGTTCTTGGATCATTAGGAGGAAAATGCTTTTGTCTAAAAAGACTTGGCAATGGACTGATTTTTTTTTTTTTTCCTACCCTGGAAGGACTATTTCCCTCCAAAACCCAAGGGGCTGAACTTGGTTTATTTAATATTTATAAACCTTCTTAGCAGACTAAGGACATGATCAGAAAAGGTTTGGTTCTGAGTTGTCAGGACTGTGGGGCCACCTCCAAGTCCCCAACAGTTCCAGGACACAGCATTAGAGATTCCCGAATATCGAGCGAGCAGACCTTCTTCAGGAGGGTGGGGAACAGGCAGTAGATAAGTTCACAGGTGCTTACGAGTCATAAATAAGGTTTATCTGGATTCACTTGGTGGTTCTAAGGCTATGGGGGCTTAGAAAACACCTGTTGAGCCCATCAAAATCCAGGCAGATATTATTTAAAAAGAGGGAAAATGCCAGGCATCTAAGAACTGTCTGAATAAGGTGTGGGGGAAGCCACTGTATTAGGAGTACCCCTTTCCCCGATCCCAAAGAAGCAGCCCCTTTCCCAACTTTCTACATTCTTGAGAATGAAGGGTCAAGGTTGAAGGTCACAGTCAGAGCAATTTATGTAAACCTTCCTTGGAGTCATTTCACTTTTTTCCTTTCTTCCTTCTCACGCTTTTACAGGACCTCCAAGATGCTCCTTATTAATCTCTTTGTGACCTCTCCCTCCTACTCTACTTCCCAGGCATCCACCGATACACTTTGTCTCGCTAGGAATTAGTTTGCTTTTTCTGGAGTTTTAAACAAATGGAATCACACGGTATATATTCTTTTTTTGCCTGGCTTCTTTCAGCCAGAATAATCATCTTGCGATCCGATCCGTGTTGTCATGTGTACTGATAGTTCATTCCTTGGTGTTGCTGAGTATTATTCTCTTGTACAGATATATCACGCTTGGACTTTGGTCACTTGTGGATGGACATGTGGGTTGATTCTAGTTTGGGGACGGAACAGAGCTGCTATGAACATTCACACGTCGATCTCTGTATGGACGTAAGCTTTCGTTTTACCAGCGTGACGACGAGGTTGTATGGTGAGTCTGTGTCGGACTTTTCAAGCAACCGCTGAATTGTTTTCCGAAGGGGTTGTGCCATTTCACATTCCCGTCAGCAGGCGAGAGAGTTCTAGTTGCTCCACATCCTTGCCACCCTTTGGTAAGGTCAGTCTTGGTGATTACAGCCATTCCAAGGGGCACGCAGTGGTCCCTCCTTGTGGATTTGCACCTCTCTAATGACTAATGATCAGCTTCTTAATTATGTAATTGTGTACTTTTTTTTTTTTTTTTTTGCCATCCTTGTATCTTCTTTGGTAAAGCATCTGCTCAAACATTTGGTCCATTTCATTATAGAGTTGTTTGTTCTCTTAGTCTTCGGTTTTGAGGATTCCTTATATATTCTGCGTCCATATATGTGATGGTTAATTTTGTATGTCGAGTCGATGGGCTAAGTGATGCCCAGAGAGCTGGTAAAACATTATTTCTGGGTGTGTCAAGGAGGGTGTGTCCAGAAGAGACTAGCATTTGAGTCAGTAGACTGAGTAGAGATCTGTCGTCACCAGTGTGGGGGGAGGGGGCGGTCACCCATTCCACTGGGGCCCAAACAGAACACAAAGGCAGAGGAAGGGTAAATTCTCTCTCTTCTTGAGCTGGGATGTCCACCTTTTCCTGCCTCAGGCACTAGGGCTCCTGGTTCTCAGGCCTTTTTGCTCAGACTGAATTGCACTACTGGCTTTCCCGGTTCTCCAGCTGGAGCTACTTCTTATAATAAATTTCCTTATGTCTCTCTCCTGGTTGTTTCTTTGGAGGACTCTAATACAACTTACTTTATCAGATACATGCTTTGCAATGATTTTTTTCCCAAATGGTGGTTTGTCTTTTCATTCTCCTGACAGTCTTGTTTAAAGAGCAAAAGTTTTAAATTTTCATGAAGTCCAATATATGTCCACCTCATTTTTGGATGTTTTTGGTGTCATATAGGAGAACTCTTTGCCTCACCCAAAGTCACAAAGATTTTTCTCCTGTTTTCTATAGATGTTTTAGGGTTTTATACTTAGGCCTACGATCTATTCTTTTTTTAATTTTTAATTTTAGAGACATAACATGAGTTGGGAAGAGGGGCAGAGAGAGAGCATGCTGGGCGATACAGGGCTCTACAGGGCTCGATCCTACAACTCTGGGATCATGACCTCAGCCTAAATCAAGAGCCAGACACTCAACTGACCGAGCCACCCAGGTGCCCTGGTCTATAGTCTATTCTATGCAACTTAAAAATTTTTTTTTTAACATTTATTCATTTTTTGAGAGAGAGAGAGAGAGAGAGAGAGAGAGCGCGCGCATGAATGGGGGAGGGGCAGAGAGAGAAGGAGACACAGAATCTGAAACAGGCTCCAGGCTCCAAGCTATCAGCACAGAGTCCAACGCGGGACTTGAACTCATGAACCATGAGATGATGACCCAGCTGAAGTCAGACGCTTAACCAACTGAGCCACCCAGGCACCCCATATGCAACTTTTTTTTTAATGTCATGTGAGGTATGGATTGAGTTTTTCTGAACATAGATATCCAGTTGTTAGAGAATCTTTTTTTGAGAAGATTATCCTTTCTCCACTGAATTGTCTTTGAAACTTTGTCAAAAAAAAATCACTTGTCCATATACATGTGGGTTTATTTCTGCAATCTCTATTCTGGTTCATTGATATACTTGTCTATCAAAACCGTATGTTGTGATTACTGTGGCTCTGTAATGAGTCTTAAAATCAGGTAGTGTTAGCCTTCAAACTTTGTTCTTCTACATCAGAGATGTTGAGGCTATTCTAGGTCCTTTGTATTTCCATATGAAGTTCAGAATCAGCTCGCCAATCTCTAGAAATGAGTGGGATGTTGACAGAGATTGTTTTAAATATATAGATCAATTTGTGGAGAACTGACATCTTAACAATATTAAATCTGAGCTGTGAACAAGGTGGATCTTTCTACTGACTAAAGTCTTAACTTCTCTCAGTAGAGCTTTGTAGTTTTAACTGTACAACTCTTGCATATCTTTTGTCAGATTTACCCCCAAGCATTCCATATTTTTTGATAACACTGTACGTAAATGGCATGTAAAACTATTCTATTTCCCACTGTTTGTTGTCACTATATAGAAATAGAACTCATGTTCATACGTTCACTTAGTAGTCTGAAACTTTGCTAAACTCACTTTTTATTTATTTTTAAAAATAATTTATTATTTTAATTTTATTTTTATTTATTTTGAGAGAGAGAGAGAGAAAGAGAAAGTAAGTCAGGAAGAGGCAGAGCAAGAGGGAGAGAAAGAATCCCAAACAGGCTTTACACTGACAGGGCAGAGCTTGATGTGGGGCTCAAACCCACAAACAGTGAGATCATGACCTGACTTAACGTTGGACACTTAACCAACTGAGCCACCCAGGTGCCCCACTAAACTTACTTTTTAGTTCTAGCTTTTTA